CCGCAGAGGCCTGCACCCTGACAAGGAGGGTGTGTCTGTTGACATTGACGGATTCATCCCACTGTTATAGATTACAAGTAAGTAGACCTGCCCATCCAGTGCGCCGCTGGCTGATGTGGACAGGTCACTCATTTCAGGGGCATGTGCATTGCTGCCACAAAACAGGAGGACGAGGAGGAGGAGGAGGAGGAGGAGGAGGAGGGAGCAGGAGGAGGAGGAGGAGGAGGACCAGGAGAATGAGGACGAGGAGGACCAGGAGGAGGAGGAGGAGGAGGAGGAGGAGGAGGAGGAGGAGGAGGAGCCCTGGGCCGCCGGTCCGAGAAATCTGCGCGGACCTCCGAGAAATTACTGTTCCGTCGGCGGCGAGGCAGAACGGCCGCACCAGCGACAGAGCTAAACCGGGGCACCGAGAAGCGATTTGGCCAGCGTGCAGGAGGGGGGGAAAGGACGGACAGGGTGGCCGCGGAGGGGGGAGGAGGAGGGGCCTCACCACGAAGGGGCCCAGGGACACACAAACAGATCCCCATAGGCATTTTCCCTGTATGTTCGGGGTTCCCCAGGACTTCTGGGAGGGGAGGCCTCACCAGGAAGGGGCCCAGTGACACATACATAGACAGAGACACAACTCCCAGGATCTCCCACTTTTCCCATATCTTTTAGGGTCCTCAAGCCTTCTGGGAGGGGAGGCCTCACCGTGAAGGCACCCTCAAGAATAGAGGCCTCCCAGATGGAGTGAGAGCAAACGGGGTCGACTGATCGCGCCGCATGGCCAATGCATCGCCGACGCACCTGCGATGCATCGCCGATGCACCAGCGACGTCGGCGGTGCATCGGCAACGTCGGCGTGGGGGAAGTCGGGCTGCACATCGAGCCGCATCGCCGATGCATCGGCGATGCGGCGCGATCCTCCGACCCCGTCTGCTCAGACCCCACCTGGGAGGCCGGAATGACGGGGCCCAGGGTCACACAAGCATATAGAGAGACAGAAGTCCCAGGATCCCCCGTATTCTCCTCGTATTTTTGTTGGGTTCCCCAGGACTTCTGGGAGGGGAGGCCTCACCATAAAGGGGCCCAGGGACACATATATATATATATATATACATATATATGTGTGTATATGTATAAATGTATAGGTATAGAGACACAGGTCCCAGGATCCCCCAACTTTTGCCCCCGTATTTTCAGGGTTATCGTCTTGCCCCTTTCTTCTCGTAGTTCCCTCTTGATCGACGATGAATGTGTCTGTGCGTTTTTTCCCTCCTGATCACCACTCACCAAACCACCCCAACCCGACCCGAAGGCCGCAATATGTCATCCATTCTCAGTGGGGGGAGGGGCGTCGGGGAACATTAGAAACACACATGTGGAACCCGTACCCTCACCCGAACCCGAGATTTGGATCCTGTTAGGTAGGCCAGGCGACGGCCGTCTCCCTGCAGCCCAAAATCGGTGCGCGTCGACGTACCCAGAAACCATGGGTCATGAGAAGAGTCACGACGGGAACTTTCTGGCAATTTTCAACCTCTGCGGACCCTCGCTGGGCCCCGTTGGACCGTCAGAAAACCACTCTGGATGAAAAACCGGTCCTGGGGAATGGGCCGAGACCTTTGGTGATCCTCGTCACGAACAGCTCATGACGGCGGGGGGCCTGGTCATCCACACCCAGGCCCTCGCTGTCTGGCTTCCTGTACTTGCATACAGCGCGCGTTACAGCAAATAATTCCAAAACCAATTAACGCTGTACTGTAGCCAAACAAACAATATATTCATATGCATGTACACACATCTACATATATATATATAAATAAATACATAGAT